ATTTTTAGAGCAATTCCCAATGCAAATAGCAACAATTACAAGCTGAATTACGTTACAATCAAAGTAATGTCAATAAACTATCATAGACCTGTGACAGTTGCAAGCACCGTGCACAAGAACGTTGAATGTCGTTATTCCTTTGTGGTCTGTGCTCGCTGACCGTTTATTATTAACGGTTAATTAATTATTAATCAAGCTCGTGGAGATAATTACCACAGTGGCAAGCATGTTCACAACATACGAGAAATCACAATCAGCAACGTTATTAAACTGTTTGAAATGCTTGTTCCGATTGAGTACCTGTTCGTACGCACTTGCAGTTAGCATTTGTTCCATATCTGCGCGTTTCATGAGTCATGCATAAAATAGACGACTTTATATTTGAGTAATTTCGAATGTTGTTAAATTGTTGCAATTGTACACATAAGCACACATAATTGGTAATAAGCGTATTTGTAAACCAACCAATTTAATTTTTATTTAAGATTTTGATCGAAAATAAAGTAAAAGTCTTTAGTGTTATGGAGTTACATTTATGACAATCAAAATCGAAAGTATTACGGATGTTATTATTATAGTCCACTTTTAGTAACCACAAATTTAATTCAATGAATTGTGTGTCATACTTTAACCTGGTAAAAGCGTCTCAAATTATAATACGAGAAGAAATATAGGATAATAGAATAAAAAAATTGCAGGGTAAAATACCAAGAGGAAGGACCTTGAGAAAAGTTTTGTAAAAACATAACAAATCTCATTATCATTGTCGCAATGATGGTCACTGATAAGTTATTGCGTAATATCTGATTATTTATTAATTATGATCACGAATTGTGGTTTTGGTGACACGACTTAATAATTTTCGGCACATATCTGACCATTTATCCAAATCAGAAGCATCAAAACATTGTTTGAAAATGAAATTTTTAAGATCTTATCCACATACCCATACCTTACATGACTTCAAGTATCATCCATTAATATTCACAGCATGTTATAAATCAATAGCACTTCGCAATAATAATAAACATCAATTTGCAACTTACATTAGCACTTAATAATTTCTTAAATTAAATGTGAATTGAATACAAATGAACTGTCATTAGCGCTTTTATTTGTTGTCAGACAAATTATAAATATTTGATAGAGCAAAACAGTGTATTCCCAATTGAAAATGAAATTAACGCAATACGTGCAAAAATAAAATAAAACTTTGCTTAAAATTTAATATAATAAGATCGACTGCCAATATTATTAAAAGTGTACCCAAATAATACCCGAAATAATAATACCCGATGTACAGAGGTGCTTTATGTGAACCACAACTTGAACAATAAAAAAGGGGTAAATTAGTATTACACCTCTTTTGATAAATCTACAATATTTATAACTGCTCATTTTTCATTGAAACTTGATTACAGTCTAAGTAAAATGATCTACAGTAAAAATGAATTATTTCTACATAGTAACAATCTTAATGCATCTACTAAATGAATACTGATTTACGAGACGAGATTTACCATTATAATGATACTGCAATTACAATGCCCCGCTTTTAGCTAAAACTGCTAATAAATCTTATTAACATATAATTGCAGATAATTATGGTCATGAGTCTATTAAGCCCTAGAAAATTAATTTTGCGATAAACAAATAACAGAGATTATCTTGACATTCTTAACAATGCATTCCTATAAATATGGAATTAGAATTGTGCCCAAACCAAAGAGGAAGTTAACACTTAAATACGGCCAATTACAATAATTAACTTTACATCATAATTATTAGCCAAATTTACATTTTTCTTTTTTGATTTACAAGCAAACCTCTTAATACTTGGAACTCTGATGGTTTTCAAGCAGGACCATATTTAGAGTCAAAGATATAACCCAGTTAACCAAAAACAATGCACAACCTTGATTGTGGCTATTTAATTTTATAGCCTTTTTGCCGAACCACGGTGAATACTAAAGATGAAAAAAGCGCATACTTGCGTAATCTCTTCATCATGTGCTCGGTCAATTCCATTTTTATGAATAGGTGTTCAATTCAATGTTCGTATCAAATGAGTAAATGTTTTATAGTGTTGAAACATGTGTGTGTCCAATTAAATTTGAACATTTATTCGAATTAGTTTTACAAATTTGGTCTTTGAAGTCGTTTGCGACTTTTTCTTGCATTGAATCGTTGACTGTTGTTCATTTTGGCAAATGGAGTAGGTTGACTTGTTTTTTTGCTTGCGTTTGCTTCATTGCGCCTATTTTGCCTTCAAATTTGCTGAGTTACATAACTATTTTGCTTGTGATTTGTCAAATTGTTTATAGCTTTGCTAATAACTCATTATTTAAGCAATTTAAACTTCCCAAACAGCACGCAAGTCAAACATGTACTCGGAGTTCCATTAAAATATATTTTCGATGTAATTGGGTAGACTGGATGCAATTGTCAAAAAATAATATGAAGGATTTGTGATATAACGCATCCTGTTATTACAAATATTGCAGTACGAAGATTATTTTAATATATTTATCTTATTTTTATTTACTTTTGTGTGAATAAAGAAATGCATTATTCTGTATTGTTGGATACAACAATTCCGTATCATTCGTAATTGGACTGCATAATTGATTCGTACTTTTATTAAGAAAAATAGCTATAATATTAAACATATTGGTGCTTACCTTAAACGTTTGACATCCAGTAAAGAATCTTTGCATCGTACACAAGTAACTTATTCCCTACATGAAATTTCCCTATCCTGTTTTGGGCTGAGCCTCCAATATTAATCCTTTTTTTGAGTGCACTTCACGCAAATATTCACCAGTACAATGCGTGCGGTAATTGAACACGGCATGCACAATCACTTACAACCCACACCGGAGAAAACAACAAAAACACCATAAAGATAAACTTTTTAAATTGCGTACTTGTTTATAAAGTTTCCTTGTTATTTTTTTTCTGTCACACACTTAAAGTCAAGCATACTTAACATTTTCCATGTATTAATATGAGATTGTCAGTAGAGACATTACAACAAATTAAGTACTTGTTGAATTGTTGCCAAATGCAAATCGGAAGAAAAGCGCGCGTCTTTCTAATCCGCAGACGGTAGACTTGAGTCGATAGCGCAGGTCACGATCAATGCGCCAACGAACACGGTGTACCGGTAACTGACTGAGCGACCGAGCTGAGCAACATCACCTGTTGAATACAGTGCGGTGAGCGGAACGCCGGTGCCCGTGTGGCGGTGGAAGTAAGCGCGAGACAGAAGAAAACATATGCTATTTAAAAATTCGTTGCGCACGGTCGAATGCGTCGAAATGTGTACTTCCCGCTCGTTTGCCCTATCTTGGTGTGATAACGTTTTCTAGCCATTGTCATCTGTTGTCTCAAGGTTGAGTAAACACTGGTGTCTTGTGTATTCAAAATGTAGGGAGTAACCACCCTTATTGTAGCCAAGAAGGCAACTTTTTTTTTCTAAAGGTATGAACTGTTTGGAATGTTATTAATTCAATTTCTCGTTGTTTCAATAACAGTGCCTAAATTTTATCTTTTGCGGTCTCGTTTATTACGCTTACTAAATTAAGATGAGCGTAAAAAGTGAAATGATTTTGCGCTGACCTACGTGCAAATTTATTAATTCATGAAAAACTACACGTACCTATACAATATATTATTCTTGTATCTTCAGCGGAGTGGTCTTTGCGTATTGCACTTTTCAAACGAAACGCAATTTTAGTATTCTACATAAATTTTCAATATTGTTTTTCATATACTTAGTTGTTAAAATTTCAATAATTTATTCTCAAACAATAATCTTGAAATATTAATATTGGTGTAGATATTTCGATTGTTTTCGACACGCTTGGCTGTTGAGTCATTATGACCAGACTGAATAATTTTAACGATAACGAAATAACAAGCAGAATGGTACATTTGCATATAAGCCTGCGATGCTTTATATATGATTAAAATATATTTTGCCGGTTCGTTTTGAATGTCGGTAAAATTGCAAATTTTACCTATCAAAAATTATTGCTGATTATGTGCACGTAACTGAAATCCAGTGTACCTGGATAAGATGCATTTATTATATACTCCTTAATAGTAAAATAGGTAGCCCTGGAAAAACCGAAACTACCGACTTACTCTCAATCGTTTGTTCTCTGGGAGGTTTATGACTTTCGAGTTGCACCGCAAGCGATTATTGCCATGTTGGGTTTGATATGTCGTAAACATAATTTGTAGTTTGCGCCTCTGCAATGGCGAGCGACCACCGTCATGAGACTTCCGACCAGGCGTAGCGTGCCTTGTCGGGGCCCCGTATAAAAATTTTTTTGGGGGCCCTTATATGGAGGTAAAGGTTTTTCCTTACACACTTTGGGGGTCCCCGTGGCCCGGGGGCCCCGTATAATTGATACGGCAAATACGGCGGTAGCTACGCCCCTGCTTCCGACCTTATACGACGAACCCAAGACAAACCCGAAGAAATGATCTTGTATTATAGAACTTCTTCCCCGCAAAGTCAAATACATTCCGGTGAATTTGACTGGAAAATGTATACATTACCCACGGTATTTAGTGAATGTCGATTCAATGTACATGTCCCATATGTAAATGTACATTGAACGTACATTAATACTCTATATTCACAATCACCGCCACATGAATTAAAGCTAACCGTATCTTTAAATTTATAGAAGTGCATTTGTTACTTTGCAGAGCATTGATGTGGAATTGTTTTTATTATCCGTACAACCCGCAAGAGATATACTTAATAGCTGTTATAAACTTAAGCATTCGGGCACCATGTCGAAATCTGGATTTTTCCAAATTTAGGCCTTTCTAGATATACATGTACCTGTATTAGGCACTACGGAAATTTCTCGTCCTTAAATGCCGCAATTTTTAATGCCTTCTGCCTACATTTACCAAGACCCTAAGGGTAATGTACACATTAGCCCGTAAATGTACGTACAAAGCATATTGGACTTATGTAGTTTGTGTTCATGTAGTTTTATTTTAAAATGAATTGTGTTTTGACATTATGTTATGAGAAATTCGTAACATATAGATTTAAATTCTTCGGTTCATCAATAAATTACGAAGCGTCTTAGTTATTTCTTGGCACCAACTTTGTTATGCCGCCTAGGTGTCCATCTCAACGCACCACTGTCCACGCAAAGTCGTGGGCGTTTGTATTGACTCGATTTGATATGTTCCTCCACCAACTTGGGCGTCACACAAATAACATGTTGTCCTTTCCAATACTTGACCATGTTCATACATTGCAACGTATAAATGATGTCCGTTTGTGTGATGCTTGTCATCTGGCTTAAATCCTTTATGCTCAGAGTGCCGCCGCGAAAGTCGCGTAAAATTTCTAGCAACACCCAGCTCCAGTAACTTCGATAACTAAGCTTGCCCAGATCACTAAGCGGCTGTTCCGGACTGCCCACAGTCTCTTCTCTTCGCGACAGTTCATAACTGAACGCTATAAGTAATTTGCCGTAACCTTGTCGTTGATACGGCGGTAGTGTTAAGATGCAGGCAACATTATTTCCATCGGGAGATTCCTTTTCCTATATTTTAAAACCAATTGTTATTATTCTATTACTTGCAAAAAAGTAATTGTTAAAGGTACAAAACTTTTAAGACAACATGATAAATGTTTAAAAAGAACTATAAAAACGGGAATAATACAATATTAACAATTAATCAATAACACCAATAAAAGAAAGAAGATTTTACTAACGGAGTGGAATCTGTAGCCAGATAATATCCCGAAGCAAAGTTAGAATAAATTTGGGTTAAAATTGTGGAAATTATAAAAAATAACATGCAACATAAAAACAATTTCAAATTCCAGATTAAAAAACAAAACAAAACTTCTAATTTAGTACTCACCTTCGAAAAATATCCCACAATATGTGCTCCCTGCTTGTCCACTTCACACAAAATGTAAAACAAAAATGGTTCCACATCAAAATACAATGTTTTATGATCCAAAAACAACTTTGCAAGTAAGCACAAGTTTTGACAATAAATCTAAAATAGGAAAATCAATTAAATTAATTGAAAACAAAAAGAAGAATTATTACACACCTTATGATCTTTACCATCCACTTCATAAACTGATAGTGTTCCTCTCCTATAAATCTCTTTACCCACTGGTTGCCTCCATGTACACTCGCCCTGGAAAAACCATTTAAAATCAATAATAATGTACAAAAATTTCATTAAATACTACATACCATATGATACCGGTAACTTTTTTCGAGCCTCATGTACTTTAAGCAATATTCACATATCCAAAGTTTATTTTGACTCCCATACTCTTCAGGGTATGGACTAAAATACCAAGTGTCAATTTCAAATCGCCCAATTTGAATTCTGTCAATATATTTAACTTTTGTTATCTGTTCATGTTCCTTTTCAAGAGCTGCAGTTGTGGGATCCATCTCTGCATACCTGATAATAATACACATTAGTATTAATAGGAAAATGAGATATTCTGGTAAGTTTAACTAACGTTTTTTGTACATGGTTAATTTCATCATGCCTCCTCTTTTGATTTCTCGTAATTTTCCGATCAGTGTCTGTCAGAACATCTGAAGCAACTGGTATCTCTTTCCACATTTTTTCACTCATCTTTGCATCCATATTAAATTGAGATGACATTACCCTGGATCTTGGAACCTAAACTTATACAAATTCAATTATTTTGTGATCACAATAAAAATTAAACTTAATTAAAAGCTGTACCCATTCATCCAATCTTCTATTAAGTCCTTCATAATGCACATAGTATTCATACTGTTGCTCGGTATCATTGAAACGTGTTTGAATAATTTCAGCGGGATCTGAAATGTAATAAAAATAAATAGAATATGCAATATTTTGTAATTGTGACTAAGGTATTCTTTGAGGTTATATATTATACATACGCCAAGTCTCGTCTGAACGCTGAACAACATAATGTTCGCCAATATCTAATGGTTGTTCTTCGCCACTTTCACCATCCTCTTCATTTTGTGCTTGCTTTGGTTCGACTTCTTTCTTAATTTCAGTTGAATCTGTTGTTGATACTTTGTCTTCCGCCATATTTCTGCTTCGCAGCAACTGGCTGTGGCGCAGGAGCGTGGTATGCAATTCAATTTCAAATCCATCGAATGAGAGAATGATACCCATGAAACAAAATAACCTTAGGCAACCCAATTGGCACAAGCATTTGAAAATATTTATTTATAACTTTACGTGAATATTGGATTTACAATTTTTATATTTTGAGTTAACATGTTTCGCCCAGAGGGCATCTTCATAAACTGGCACAAGTACCTTTAATTGGCACCGTGTAAACGGTGTATACGTGGTGTAAACAATACAAATTCTTCAATTTTTTAAATTGCTATTCGTTTAGATAGGGTGGTGCATGCGCAGTTGCGTGTACGTTTGACACACGGCCACTGCCACTTAAGTGCGTGACCATACACTGACTCATAGCCAATCACTCACTGGCAGAGTTGTCATTTATGCCAAACTGAGGGAATAATTTGGAAAAAACTCAAAAAAACATTTACTTGACCCTCCAGTTAACTCGAGTTACGTAATTCGAGTTCAACCCGAGTTGCGTGGATTTTAACTCGGGTTAAATCGAGTTTTGTTTTTTCTGAGTTGGCACATCACTACTCACTGCCTCATATGCACGCCACACATTTTGATACACTTTGTATTTCCTTGAAGTACTCAAAAGTAACCTCAGATGGCACAATAATACATTTTTTCGCTAAAAATATTCCTGCGAGTGAAAGTCGACTTGCCCAGATGTAGTGTGGCCGGCACGCAACTCTTACTTCATGCGATAAGTACTAATACTTACATTGATATTCGTGTTTCGTGTTGTAAATTCGTTATATCGCGTTATATTTGCTGGAATTTAGTGTTAATAGACGGGTTTTAGTCGCTAAATATTTATCGCGTGTGGAATCTTCGGAATTCAATGTTTTGTGTGTTTATTAGTTTCGCGTGTATCTGGGATCGCTTGCCGTCGGACGCCAGTCGGCCATGTTGTGTGATTGTAAATAATATTTTGAAGTTGTGCGAACCATTTTTGTCTTCAGCAGAACACGACTGGTAAATATTATTATTTAAATAATTATGGCAAATAAGACAATTTTTAAGGCAAGGTTTGGGTTCCTCCGAAACTCGGATTCATTTCAACATTGTCCGAAACTGTATAACTAATGTTTTGTTTCTTGTTTATTTCAGTATCTACTCGCATTTGATTTACGGTGTTCGACACATTGGTGAGTGAAATTTTTCATCGTTCATAGTATCTATTTTTCGATTTTACGGATTCCTGCAATTAGAGAATGAATATCTTAAACTTCTTTTTGCGGAAAGTTCGGCCAAGCATTCCGCAGGAAATTTGAAAATGGAAATTCAAACCTTTTATTACGGATGTTCAGAACGACGTTTAAATGAAAAAACGTAGCTCTGAACACTTTATCATAGTAAAATTTTAGTCTAGGACTCCCAGCTTTAACTTTCATTTTTCGGAGAAAAATTAAATTTATAAATTTAAACTTTTTATTTCGGAAGTTCTTATAGAAGGTCTCCCTGAGCATTTTATTTTAATATAATTTTACTCTTGGACTTATAGTTTTCCTGCAATTTGATCAAATGTGTTGTCACATTTTCTACAGAAAAATTGAATTTGTAAATTTAAACTTTTTATATTGAATGTACCTGTAAGAAATGACCCTGAACATTTTATTTAAATCAAATTTTACTCTTGGACTCATAGCTTACCCGTAATTTGGTCAAATGTGATAATTTTCTGCAGAAAACTGTCAGTTGAAATTTATAATTTCTTCTACTGAAGTTGCAACAAAATGTTTTTACGAGCCTTTCATTTTAGTATAAATTTTCTTTAGAATTCAGTTGGAATTGTTCATTGCTAAAATATATACCTAAATAGTATAGCAATATATGTTCAAATTAAATTAAATATTTGATGTAAAATCCATCAATCTTTTAGTATAAGAAATAATAATTTCATGATTTGAATTTTTAAGATGCACCCTTGAAACCCCGCGAAATTCGGTCGTAACAGCCTCAAAATGACCTCGAAAATTTGCCCTTTTCTTGCAATTTTCAAAACAGGCCGTGGAAAACTGGCCATATCTCGGGAGCCCTTTATCATATTTTAGTTATTTCTCGATTTTAAGGTAGGATAAGAGTGCATTTTTAAGGTGCACCCCTGAACCCTCGCGAAATTCGGTCGTAACTGCCTCAAAATGGCCGCTAAAGTTTCCCCTTTTCTTGCAATTTTCAAAACACGCGGTGGAAAACTGGCCATATCTCGGGAACCCTTTCTCATATTTAAGCTATTTTTCAATTTTATTATAGGCTAAGAGTGCCGGAACCCTTGCGAAATTCGGTCGTAACTGCCCCAAAATGGCCGCTAAAATTTTCCCTTTTTTGCAATTTTCAAAACACGCGGTGGAAAACTGGCCATGTCTCGGGAACCCTTTGTCATATTTTAGTTATTTCTCGATTATATTGTAGGGTAAGAGTGTATTTTTATGATGCACCCCCTGAACCCCCGCGAAATTCGGTCGTAACTGCCTCAAAATGGCCGCTAAAATTTTCCCTCTTTTTGCAATTTTCAAAACACGCGGTGGAAAACTGGCCATATATCGGGAACCCTTTGTCATATTTGAGTTATTTCTCGATTTTATTATAGGGTAAGAGTGCATTTTTAAGATGCACCCCTGAAATTTCGCGAAATTCGGTCGTAACTGTCTCAAAATGGCCGCTAAAGTTTGCCCTTTTTTTTGCAATTTTCAAAACATGCGGTGGAAAACTGGAGCCCTTTGTCACATTTTAGTTATTTCTCGATTTTAAGATAGGATAAGAGTGCATTTTTAAAGTGCACCCCGAAACCCTCGCGAAATTCGGTCGTAACTGCCTCAAAATGGCCGCTAAAGTTTGCCCTTTTCTTGCAATTTTCAAAACACGCGGTGGAAAACTGGCCATATCCCGGGAACCCTTTGTCATATTTTAGTTATTTCTCTTTTTTATTATAGGGAAAGAGTGCATTTTTAAAATGCACCCCTGAACCCCCCCAAAATTTGGTTGTAACTGCCTTAAAATGGCCGCTAAAGTTTGCCCCTGTTTTGCAAACTAATTGAATTCTCCAAGTTGGCTATTCTGCATGCGACCTTGTTTGTTGCAAATAGTGACTTATCGCGTGTTCTCTCGTGCCGCCTCTGATTGTGCTGCGCGGTGTCCTCAACGCAGTTTTGTACCGGTCGTTGGTTGGTTCGGACGAATTTCTCGCGGCTGTTATCGTTTTATTTTGAGTTTATTATTCGGTAAATCGCGTTCATTTCGATCGCCCATCGACTTCATTTAGTTATTATTATCGTGTTTAGTGTTTTATTAATAGGTAATCCTGTGTGGAATATACAAAATCGTTAATTTTATTTTCGGTCGTTGTGCGTGTTTCAAGATGGGTGCGTGTTATCAACTTGTTTACACTTCATGCTCGCGAGATGCAGGTAGCATGAACCTGCAACGTCTTACATCAGTTTTGAGATTTTATTTCGATTAATTACATGCCGTTGTCAAAGGTCCCTAAATATATACTTATATATTTATATTTATTTGTATACGAGTATATTTGGGGACATTTGACAATTAATTTGATGAATGCTTGTGGAATAACATGCAGTGTAAACTCTTTATAACGATACTTACTAAGATTTGTTGATTTAAGGGCGGATTTCATTCATTCAGTCATTTACCACGAAACCAACCTTCTTTTACATATTTCTACGTCATTATAAAAAAGGTTATCAAGAGTTTACATTATGTTGCACATTTAATCGCTTACGACTTTTACTATATTGTATTATTGCTTGTCGGACTAATTGCCGTGCGTTTTATTTGTTGGTAGTAAGGCGATATGGTATTTGGCAGTTGCCACACTGTCGTTGTGTAGCTTTAACTCGCGAAGACTTGGGCTTGTGCGTGTCATCCTCTCGAGCACATTTCCTTGATTGCTCTTTGTGTTATGTAATTGTGCATGTAAAACTTGAGAACTCCTTTTATTGTGTATATGACTTTGCTGTATTGTCTTGAGTTTTAATGTGTACAGTGTACATACATGTTTGTTGTACTGTCCACGTAGAATTCGTTTTTATATGTAAATGTTTTGTACGTTTTTATTTCGTATTGTGTTGTAGTTGTTTGTGTTTTAATGTTTGCTTGCACCTTGTGTGTGTTTTAATTTGTATAAATAAACAACGTTGATGCCTGTTGAAGAAGTTTAGGAGCACTTGTGCCAAGTAGTCAATGCAAGTTTTACTTTCAGGAGATTTAAGAGCTGTCTATGATTTTTGATTTTAAATAAATGTATGTAGTTTTTAATGTTGCTAATAAAACATAATGTAATATTATATACTTCTTCATATTTATTTCTAATTTCCCCTTTACTGTTTGCAGGATTGATGACTTAAATCATATTCCATATAAATCTTAAGTGCGTCAAGCGTGTACAGTATATAGTTGTTTATGTTGGGTGCATTCGCGTTGGACGCTTACGCGCTGTGAGCGTGCTTACATGTCATTTTCATCGTTCGACTTGGCGCTGTGAGTGTCACATAAGTACGCTCATGGCTGAGTTCGTAGCACAGACTTCGCGCTCATTTATGCTCACGCCACAGAGGTAGGGCAGCGAAAGCGTGAGCGCCAATTTTTATTTTCTGTCAAAACGAATGCAACTTGAGCATAAGCTAACCAAAAAATTTCATTTATTTCTAAATTGTTAAATTCTTTACAATCCCGCAAAAATGGCAAGCAGTCAACCAAAATTAATTTCTGTTGAGCTAACTGATCCAGAAAGTAATAAAATTTACAATTAAATTAAAATTTAAAAAATAAAAATTTAAATTATTTGATAAACAGTTGCCATGTTGATGATTATTGACGCTCACAATATCCAAAACGAACGAAATTTATTTATTGATTCTAAGCGCCTATAGGCCATCTCGAACACTAAAAATTTGTGCTTATAAGCGTGAGCGCTCACAGCGCGTAAGCGTCCAACGCGAATGCACCCGTTGTGTTGTTGTTTTTAAAAAGTTGAATAAAGTAGAAACATAAAT